TCTTTCATTTGTTCCATCACGTGTTGGATGTGTTTGTTCATAGGAAATTAGTAAACAAAATAAAATCAATCGCTCCAAATATAAGGATCTCCATCATTTAGGCACAAAGTCATTTCCTAGGATTATTGATGAAATGGTAATTTCTCCATTTATTCTTTTAACTCATACAATTTTTTCCATTATTTAAAAAGATGAAATCCTTCAATTTTATGTAACTTTTGCTGCCTTAAATTGGTAGTTTCCTTAGTTAAATTTCCATTCATGCAGAAGAAAAAGGGAGGAGTTCCCCTTTCTAGGGTGAAAGTCTACATTACTACTTGAACCTCTAAGCGTGGTGGGTTTTTGTCGAATGAGACACAAGCTACAGTGGTAATAGTTTAGGTTGCATTTCGTTAAATAATTGTTTTTTTTCATGACACCTTTATTTTCACATTTCTCTTTATGTTTACTAATTTTGTTTGTGTCAAATGTTTACCAATGGTCATGATGGTTTTTATAAACAATAAAGGAAAAAATGGACACTATGATCGCTCAGAATGTTGATTATGAGAACACACTAGGTACTGAATCATGGGAAGATGATTTATACTCTAAAGTAAAAGGAATTGACAAGGGAGGTCGTGTTCGATGCATGGGAATGATTGCAAAATCATTGAAAACTGGGATAAAAGAGCAACTCCCAGATATCATTTTAAGTTCCAACGTCGTGGAAGCCGTGGATCCTGCACAACAAATTGTTAGAAAACAAGAATTCTTTTGACACAATCCCGAGTCAACTTGTTCAATTTTTTTTCCTTGTTTTGGAGGGGCATATATGTAACGCACATTGCCATTAAAATTATCTTCTTAGGTACCCAATGCAAGAAATGACCCTAATATAAATATAAATAGAGAAATACATTCTCCGGATGTAACAGATCATGCCGGTGGTAAGTTGGTCATCTAGTATTTCTTTTATTCATTATGTTTATAAGTATATATAACATGAGTTTATGTGGTGTTAACCAGTTTATTTATTTATTTTTTACAAGTAAATTGCAGATATTTAGTGGATGTGAAATTTATTAGTGGACATGCAATAAGAGTTTTTAGACTACTTTTGGACTACTGCACATCATTTTGACAATTTAATATTTAGAATTATATTGTTGGACACTTTTATGAAAACATCTAATGTCATTGTTTAAGAAGGTTATGCTCATCATTTTCCCCTTTATTAATTAATATCCCATGATGAGTTTCAATCATAAATTTGTGAGCCTTTTTTCAAACTCCATTTGTTGTCATTGTGGATCCTGGATGGCAAAATAACAGGAAATTTTAGTTACGGATCCAAAATCAGTTCAGTCAAGAATGGTATGTTTAGGGTGAGATGAATAAGGGGGAGGGGAATGGAAGAATAATTTCTCTATTCGCTCCTTATGAAATAAAGTAACTGAAAATTTTTTCCTCCCCTCTCTTTTATATATATATATATATTGATAATCAAGTTCCATATTTTTCTCCCCCACTTTATTTTTTTAATTCAAATATGTTATTACAAATTGTCAATTATGCTTATATTTTTTAGAAGCATTTTATCTACTTTAATCTATTATTTTAACATTGATTGTATTACTGTTTGCAATTTGTGATTTTAAAAAATTCAAAAAGTTTTAATTCTTCATGCAGAAAAGGATTTAAATGCATAATAATAAGAGTTTTGTGATTAATTAAATATCTTTTGAAAGCTGAGAGACTGAATTAAAAGAAGAATGGTTCCTTTTGGACCTAAATAAATGACTCTTAGGTTATGGGTTATAAAAGCTGGAGGACCAGATCTGTCATTTTACCATTGAAGAAATTGAAAAAATGGATCGGAAACCCGACACGGGCATGGTGTCAACACATTATTCGTGATGTCAGCACCATGTGATAAGAAGAATATGTTAAAAAATATTATATTCAATAAAATATAAGATTTCGTTTTGTCACATCTAACTTTTTTTTATTGGAATTCAACTTGTGTTATTTATCAAAAAAGAGTAATTGATTTATATTTGTAATATCCCAAATTTTCGGGAATATTTAAGTGTAAGTTAAGGACTTGATTGTGAGAAAAAATTGTTTTGGAGCCTAATGTGAATATTCTGAAAGTTAAGGGACTTAAAGAGGAAAAAATTTTGGATAAGGATGACTTCTTTTCTTTTTCTTTTTCTTTCTTTCTTTCTTTCCTTCCCAGCCTTGCCCGATTCTGCTCTTCTCTTCCCGCTGCAGCCACCCGAGAGAAAAAGAAAGGGGAACCCAGCCATGCCTTTGAGAAACTGGTGAGAAAGCTTGGTTTTCTCCTTCTTTTCTTGCTCTAGAACACACCTAGAACCCAGAAATCTTCCCCCCCTGCTGGAAAAGCCGGATCTGCCCTGCTCTGCTTTGTCCTTCCGCCGGCTG